ATTTTCAAACTAGTGACAAAAAAAAAAAACCTCTGGATTCATCTTTCTCTATAATCTTTATTTTCCTCAGCCCCATTAAAAAATTAATTTTGCATTTATTATATCTTGCTTTACTGCAGGCACCTCTAAACTACCATAAACAAGTGGTCACTGAAACAAAGACTTCACTGAAAGCAAAGAAAGCATACTCTATCCAGTGTCCTGCTTTCCCAGATACTTATCCAGCTCTTAGGATGGCAAAATTTTCATCTGTGGCTTTTGTTCCACCCCACCACTCTCCGCAATGCCATGGATGGGCTCCCAATGTGGTTTAGTGTTCAAAATCAGAAAGTAGAATAAAACAAGACTGCTACTACTACCAATATATTGCTTTTAGATAGAAATGTAAGTTTGAGAAATATTTTCATACAAATTGTCACATTTAGTCTCAAATTTAGTGTCAACTGTCAACTGTAAGGTCGGCAGGAATGGCACTATCATTTCCATTATTAATGTGAAGAACACATATCCAAGGGTGTGAAAAAATAGCAAATTTGGGGCTCAAGAAGATTCCTGTGTGTTAGGCACTGCTTCCATGAAATTACAAAGAATGTAGTTATCAGACATAGTTCCTTCCCTCAAGAAGTTCACGATCTAGTGCTGGGTGTAGATTTGTAAACCAGCAAGTGTAACACAGCATGGAAAGGGCCCACCACATACACAGGAGGTTGCATAGGAAAAGGCACAACAAACTCTACCAGCAAGAGAGAGCTGTGGGAAACCTTATAAAGGAGGCCATCTTTGGATTCTTTGAAGAATGAGAAGACTCTAAATAGTGTAAGAAAGAAAATCAGAAATAGGAGGAAGTTCTTCCAAGGAAGAAAATGTGTGTGCAAAGGCACAGAGATAATCAAAGAACTGGAAATCTATGCACAGGAGACAGCACTAGATGACAAAGGGCACTGAGGACTTTGACTTTGTCTTATAGCAAGTGGTAAGCCACTAAAGGATTTAACCAGGGAAAAGATGAGATCAAATTTGAATTCAAAAACATTTTGAAAGTAGAGAGGAGGATATATTTCTAAGGAAGAGGGAGATCGTGGGCAAAATCCCAGGCAAGAAATGATTCTGGACTAAAATTAAGGCAAAGATAGCAGGAATGGAGGAGACGGGATATGTCTGAGAGACATTTCACTGGGAGAACAAAAGTAGGGTTCATGTGCTGGAAAACTTAATTCCCAATGCAACAATGTTGAGAGGCAGAATCTTTAAGAGGTGATTAAGTCATGAGGGCTCTACTCTTATGAATGGATTAATGCCATTATACCAGGAGTGTATTCGTGATTTTGGAAGGGGGTCCTGAGAAAAAGGATGAATTTGGCCCCCTTGTTGTCTCTTTTGTGCTCTTGCTATGTGATGCCTTCCACCATGGGATGACACAGCAAGAAGGTGCTCACAAGATATGTCCCCTTGCTTTTGGACTTCCCAGCCTCCAGAACTGTGAGCCAAATAATTTCTATTGCTGATAAATTACCAAGTCTATGATATTTTGTTACAGCAGCACAAAACAAATTAAGACCATTGTCTTTTGGATACAGGTGATGCACATAAGGAAGAATTCCGGATGGATTCCAGATTTTGAACTCATCAAAGTTGGATGATGGTAATAACTTTAACAATGAGGGAAAGAAGCAGATGGGTAAGGGAGTGGGGAAGAACGGGAATCAGAAAGAGGAGGTAACATGTTTGGTTTTGAGCAGTCCTTATACACTGAGCCTTTGATGTATTCATGCAGAACTGGTGACATTTGAGCTGGAGATATGAAATCCATTTTACTGATGCCAGAGGGAGGAACGTGATGAACCATGGAGAGAATGTTGAGTAAGCGGTAACAGATAGGAAAGGATGTGGATATCACTCTCATTTAAGATTGGCAGAAAAAAGCAACATAATGAATGCAGAGAGGGAGAAAGAGAACAGGAGAAAGTGCTGTCAAGGAATCCAAGAAATATTTTTGAGAAGAAAGAAGAAAGAACAGACGGTCATGAGGGTCAAATGCTATACCCATGTGTCAGCCAGATCTGGCACCAGAAGAGCTGTGTCCCTGCCACTGGCTGTGTCCATTGTGTGGTGGAGGGAGCTGCCAGGCAGGGTGGTAGGACTGGGAATGAATGCAAACCGTGGGAGATGAGGAGAATTTTGCCTGTGAAAAGAAAGGAGAGAGAGGTGATTGCAACCCAGGAAGATGGTGCTTCTTAAATTTTAATGTAGGAGCAAGATTTGACCATGTTGGCAAATGAAGGGCAGCCAACGATGTTGGAGAATGAGTAGAGACTTACTGGGGAGCCTCACTGTCCCCCAATATTCTCTCTTTTTAACCCAATAGTGTGAATCATCGCCACTCTTCTAAGGTATCTTCCATCAGTCCTTTCATCGTTGAACTGAGAAAGGGCATTTGTGCTTTGGAAGGAATGTGCAGGTAGAATAAGACCTTTGCTGTGAGGATGGTTTGCTTAGGGTTAAATGCAGCTTATACTGTTGGGAACTTGTTTGTACAAATTTTGGAAGACCATTTGCTTGCACTGAGACAAAGTTCTTCCTCTATATGGTTCAGGGGTGACCATGACAATTTTTTGCCCCATAAGAGGCAGTTCTGCCTGCATCCTATGTAGCATCCCAGAGGTCTTAGACACCCCTTGAGGGCTGGAGGAAAGCCAAACCCTGCAACACAGTGGGCTAGGCTAGCAAGTTCCACGTGCCATTGCCGCTTGTCTAATCCTGAATATGGAAGGGTTCAGGTGGCACCTACTGGAAACTTAATAAAACTTTTGTTTACTTTTTTCCCCCAAAGTACAAGACAAGAAGACATTAGCCAGCATGCAGACTTTAACTATCTTCTTCTATTTAGCTTCTATTAATTCTCAGAGTAACTTTTCTCCTAAGTCAGTGAATGGTGAGATTTTCACATTCTCTTAAAACAACTTTGCATTAGAATTCAGTCTCGTATTGCATCCAAAATAAACTTACATATTTAAAAAAGCAAACTGTTCTTAATAGAACCTTTCTTATTTTTATATCACTTAATATTTTTACAACTTATAACAGAAATATGTATTGAAAGAGTTGGTGCATGTCTTGACATCTTTATAGGCTAGACAGTGCTTAGTACATAGTAGGACTGAATAAATATTTGTTGAATGAATGAAGAGTAAACAGAATAAATTAACAGTGAACATTTTGGCCACTAGAGAAGAACAGGCTGGGAAAGAGCTATTGTCAGTTTCACAAAACCTGTCAAGAGCAGCAAATCACAATTAAACACAAAACACACACAAACACACACACAGACACTATCCAGTTCTATAAACAGGAGACAATTAAGGACCTACACAGTGACCTTCTAATAAATGCTAACCAAACTAGTCTTGTTCATTTCAGAGATTCTTACCTGTCAAAGCCTAAATTCAGGGCTCTACAAACCACTTCCTCCTGTATGAAGCCTGATAATAAATGTTAAAAAAAAAAATCCAGACATCAGCACAGACCCCACACCACAGGAGGGTCCTCTGTCAATCTCTCCCACTTCCTCTCCTCTACAAAGACCTCAGAAGTCAAAAGCTGGACTGTCAATATCGAAAGTCTAAATATATTGCATTTTACCCTCCCTAACAAGCCAAGCATCTTTGCAAACAGAGCAATGAGCTTTGGCATTCTCGAAGCACAACTGTGAACACAGCAGTAACTCAAGGTAAAACAACCTTGTGAAACAGGTCACCAACAGAGCAGCTTGTGGGCAAGCAGAGCGGCTCTGTCACCTGAAGCAAACACTGCTTCACAAAGCCGTAGCGTGGAGTCCATCGACAACTGTGAGCATCTCCTAATAAGTTGTGTACATAACTAGAATAAAGGCAACATCCACTCATATATCTTGCTGTTTTCATTAAAATGGCTATTTTGTTTATAGCTTATCCATGTCATACATGCAATTTTTAAATGAAATCATGCAATAAAACAAGAATTTGGCTGGAATGTTGCTAATCTTGGATGAGTTTCAGCTGAGGGTGCCAAGGGCCTCTGTGCTCCCTGGACAACCGGGCCCTTATCCTTGGGATACGAGTCAGGTCCCCATGTGAACCCCAGAAAACCCACCCAGGGCTTCCTTCAGTGAAGGGGCCCTGACCGATGTCTTCTGAAACACTGGGCCCCGGGCACTTGTCAAGTGCTTAACTCAAGAAATAGATTTAAAGAAGTCCTGTAGTGTTCAGAGTCCAGTGAGCAACAACATCAAAAATAAAACAAAAATAAACAAAACCACACACACACACACACACACACAGACACACACACTCTACATATAACCAGGTTGATGACCTGCGTATGTGTGTGGCAGGGCAGCTTAAATGAAATTGGAGCTAATAAAATTCTATTTGGAGGCTAGAAATAAAATTCTATTTGGAGAAATAAAATCTTTAGTAAATTGGACATATGTGCAACATTATTTATTGCAGCACTGTTTATAGCATCAAAAAACTGGAAGTAACATAAGTGCCCATCAATAGGAGATAAAATGAATAAAATGTGGTGTGGCTACACCTCTAAACCACAGAATATTATGCAGCCAGCACAAAGAATTAATTAGAATATACCAGTTGACTTAGTAAGATTTCTAGGAAGTGCTATTGATTAAACCAAGATACAGGAAATATATATGATATCCTTCTTTTTGTAAGACCAACCATAACCCAAAAGCTACATATACACACATGTTAACAAGTATCCCTTTCTCTACAAAACCTCTTGTTCTTCAGTTCAGATAGCAAGTTCAGATGGTGAAATTGTATAGGGCAAGGGGCACCTACATGTGTGCAAGTCTATGTAGATGTATTTATATTTGTAAATCAGTAAGCAGTATTATGCAATCCCACATTTTTACATTTTTAAAATGTTTGCATAGACACATATAATAAATTTCTAAATACAATTTGATAAAGGAAGAAATGAAACCGGTGAACTGCTTTAAATTTTTTGGACTTTTTAATTTTATTATTTTTAAATTTTGCTTCAATAGTTTAATTTTATTTCAATGGTTTTTGGTTACATGGATAAGTTCTTTAATGATGATTTTTCAGATTTTGATGCACTTGTCATCCCGCTTTAAATGAATATGACTTGGGTTCTTCTGGTATTTTTATTCCTGTAAAATAAACAGTGTCTGTACATCATTAATTAGAAAAGTGTTCGACACAGGGTATGGATTGCATTGTCCTCAGAAAACCCGTCAGAAGGAGGTGCAGGTAAGGAAATGATGTGCCTGGAGGTGCAGTCACTTTTTTAAGTTTACACAACTCCTAACCTGCAGGACTGGATTTGTAACCTGAGGTTGCCTGACTCCAAAACCCTTTGGGCTACTCACAGGAGCCTCCCACAGTCCTTGTTTTTGTCTCTGCCTTAAGACCTCCCTGAAGAATCCCGCAGAACCAAGCACCAGCAATGGAATTCTTTGCAGCTGATCACTTTGATTTCTCCAATTACCACCCACCCCAAGTTCTTGGGCAGCAGAATAGGTCATAGGACTCTCAGCTCTCAACATTCCCACATCTGTGTGATGGGGGCAATGGGTAAACCTTACACCGTGACAATGACTAAGCCTTTAAATTGGAGCGTCCCCGAAACTGAGCACATGAGCCTTGCTTTCTTTATTATTCCAGAATTTTTTTACTAGGTGTCTGCTTTGCATTCAGAATAAAGATTCTTTCAGCAATCTGTTGTAGTGCCTTTAGTACATTTCCAGGCTATAGCACCTAGACTCAAATTCGTATTAAACTGGATCTTTACAGACAGGGTTGGCCCAAATAAACTTGGAAAAAGGAGCACTGTGTTAAAACACATGCAGTGGAAACTAATCAAGGGCGCGTACAGACGTGGGTAGCTACTTGCCAACAACCAGGCCAAGGATAAAGTAGTATCAAGGAAAATCAACCAAGACTGTTTCATATTAGAAGGTGGAACCGCCTGGAAACAACATGCCCTCTCGGAAAGTTCCCGCCATGCTCTGGCTCTGTTTTTCATGGTGATCCATCTCCCGGCACAGCCTGGCGTTCTGCGGGCTCCGCTTCTGTTCACACTGGCAGCGTTGGTGCACGTGGGAGTGCAATCACGGTGCTCACGTCCGCATTTCCTCGGCTGCCTGGAGCCCACAGAGCACTCCTTTCTGGGGGTGCTTCTTCTTTCCTTGGAGAGTTCCGTCCTGTGCCTCCCTATGAATTCTCTCCAGGGCGCCTGCAGTCCCATTTTTAAAAGGTCTTGAATAAAGTGAAATGTGATTAGTTGTGGGAAATGAACCAATGATATGCACAATTCAGCAGCCTTTATCACTGATGAAATCCAGAAATAAAGGTAATTTTCTCCAACTTTTGGTGCTATAGTAGCCATGTTTCTATGAAAAACACTGGTAGAACTTAACTTGTTTCATCTCCACAGTGACTTTAGAAGAAACATAATCCACCATCAACTTCAGGACTGCTGACCGCACACTTCAACACTTCTTGGTGTAGAGCTCGGTAGGGGAGGCAATACAGAGAGAGTAGAGCTCAGACTCTGAAATCTCTCCGGGATTTGTGCCCACATCTCACACTCGGTACTCTGAACTTAGGCAAGTTACTGATACTTCTAGGTTCCATTTCCTTGAACAAATGGGGTATAGTAACATTTACACACCCCATAGGGTTGTTGAAAGGATTAAACGAGATGATACCAGTAAAACACTTAGAACGATGGTTGGCAGATGGGAGCACTTAGTAATTTATTAATACTATATCCGAAGGAAAAAAATTGACTTGGGCCTTTCTGAAATCAATAAAAATGTGTTTCTATGGATGTTAAGGCCTTGTCTTCAAGAGGTGGAGAGACTCCCTCCATGAGCTCTCTGTCTAAACCAGACAGACTCCAGCCATTTGAAAATACTCCCTGCCTCTTGGCCTTCCCACAGAGCCCACCTGACATCATTTGGATATTTGTCCCCACCCAAATCTCATGTTGAATTTTAATCTGCAATGTTGGAGGTGGGACCTCGTGGGGGATGTTGGGATCACGAAGGTGGATCCCTCATGGCTTGGTGCTGTCTTCCTGATAGAGTTCTCACGAGATCTGGTCATTTAAAAGTGTGTAGCACCTCCCTCCCCCACTCTCTCTTGCTCCTGCTTTTGCCATGTGATGTGCCTGCTCTCCCTTCGCCTTCCGCCATGATTGTAAGCTTCCTGAGGCCTCCCTAAAAACTGAACAGATGCCAGCACCATGCTTCCTGTACAGCATGCAGAGCTGTGAGTCAATTAAACTTCTTTTCTTTATAAATTTCCCAGTCTAAAGTGTTTCTTTATAGCAATGGAAGAATGGCCTAATGCACCACCTTTCACCTGTAGAGCCATCCCCATCTCCGGCCATTTCACCCCTTCTTTAAGAGCAGACCCAAAGATCCCCCATCACCAAGGTCTCCCCTGGGCACTTCAGGGGCAGAAGCCACTTGGGATGCACCTGGCTTCCATCATTGCTCCTATCTGTATAGCCATCATTTCATGATGCCATCCAGACTGTGATTCCTGGACATGACTCTGCCCCTCAGGCATGACTGCCAAGCACCTTCAAAACGTGCACATTTGGGGTTTTCTCATAAAAACTTTTTTCAATAAATGTCTGTTACTGCCTATTTGTTAAATATTCCAGTTAGGGCTGCCAACAGCTACACTGTAGTATACCATATGTGTGCTGGGAGAGTAGGGGAATTAAAAATGCAGTTTATGATTTTATATGTGTGTGTGTGTGTGTGTGTGTATACACACATACTCCTTCAAAATAAAGCCTTCCTGAAGCTTGTTATTGTTCCTTGTTTTGTTTCTGCCTTGAAGATAGTCACTAAGGATGTTCATAATTTGTGACGCATCATCTTTAGTGCCTCTTTGCACCCACAGAAGGAGGCTGTCGAGGGAGATGTGTTCGATGTGTGCCCACCTATGCTCACTGCCACCCACTGTGGACAGTGGGCCCTGCCGTGTGTACCTGCTGGGGCTCGCCACTGTGCCCCCACTCTCAGGCCTCTGCTCACCTGCCCTTGCCTTGTCTCAGGCCTCTGCTCACCTGCCCTTGCCAGTTTCAGCTTGTTCCATTCAAATCCCTCTGGACCTCTTCTTGGGAAAAGTACTGCTAATTCTGATAATTTATTAGGCACTATTATATACCAACCTACATAAAGTGCTTTAACCTCAACAGTGTGCTGGTAGGTATTTACGACAAGGCCCTCCAGGAGGAAAGCCCTGATTTATGGTGTTTGCCAATTTCCAGGGTGTACCTACAGCCCATTCTGCTAGAACATTTCTTCTGAAAATGAGGATTTGTTCCACTGTGATTGGTAAATTAGGGAACAATTTGAGTGTCATGTCAATGTCGGTTTGCTCAGGCACCATTTTGTTGCTCAGAAGCCAGGTGAATGCAGTAGGAAGGATGGATCTCACACATATGCATTTCATCAGGACAAGGAGCCACACCCACCCATACCTGCTATCACTACTCTCTCTAGGATTTTAGATAACCCTTGTATTAGTCATGGTGCTCCACAACCCTGGGGAGAAACAGAACCCAGAGAGAGGAAGGGAAATGGTGTGGTGGGGTGCGGGAGGCGAGAGAGAGAGAGAGAGAAAGAGAACTGAGTATATAGATTTATTGAACACGATATTTATGATGGGAATGGCTCATGCAATTACAGAGGCTAACAAGTCCCATGATCTGTTGCCTACACACCGGAGAACTGATGCTGTAACTCAGTCTGAGTCCAAAAGCCTGAGAACCAGAGAGCCAGTGGTGTAAAACTCTTAAGTCTGAAGTCAAAGGTCTGAGAACCTGGGAAGCCACTGGCATAAATACAGAGTCCAAAGTTCTGAGAACCTAGAGAACCTGGTGTTCTAGGGCTGGAGAAGATGAATGTCTCAGATCATACAAAGATAATTCACTCAAGTTCACCCTTCCTCCACCTTTTCATTCTATTGGAGACCTTAGTGAGTCAGGTGATGCCTGCCATGTTGGTGAAGAAGGATCGTCTTTACTCAGTGTTTAAATCCAAATGCTAATTTCTTCTGGAAACGCCCTCACAGACCCACCCAGAAATAATGATTTTCCAGCTATCTGGACACCACCTAACCCAGTCAAGATAACACCTAAAATTACTCGTCACACACTCCTCTCAGAAGTTCAAATCAACATGAGCTACAGCCCTTCCCGCCACCAACCGGCTGCACGGCTCTGTGCGTTCCCTTCTGTATTAGCCTGTTCTCACATTGCTAATAAAGACATACCCAAGACTGGGTAATTTATAAAGGAAAGAGGTTTAATTGACTCACAGTTCTGCATGGCTGGGGAAGCCTCAGGAAACTTACAATCATGGTGAAAGGGAAGCAAACACCTCCTTCTTCCCGTGGCAGCAGCAAGGATAAGTGCTGAACAAAAATGGGGGAAATCCCCTCTTAAAATCATCAGATCTCTGAGAACTCACTCACTATTGGGAGAACAGCATGAAGGTAACCACCCCCATAATTCAATTCCCTCCCACTGTCTCCCTCCCAGGACACATGGGGATTATTCAAGGTGAGATTTGGGCGGGGACACAGCCAAACCATATCACCTTCTCTTTAATTTCTCCTCTTGAACCTCAGCTATTGTGTATTTTTCCTTTGGTTTTCTGTTCTTTTTCTCTTGGGAACTCTTTGATTCTCTTCCTCTTGCAGACAGGGAGGTGGACATGGTGGGCCCCCAGGCATGGGACACTCACTTCAACAAGCAAACTTCAGGTCTTTCTCAAGGTGATCTTTTCAAAGTGACATCTTTACTGTAGTATTTATGGATTTCTTAATGAGTTGAAATGTATAACTATGTGTGCTACCATTTTTTTTGGGTTCCTCACCTTTTATTTTTTGCCACTGATAAAAGTGAAGGCTGTGTCCCTAACCCCATTTTCCCATAAGCCCTGCAGTTTTTAGTGTAGAAATGCATACTTACATTAGAGCAGAGCTAACTGCCTGTGGTATGCTGGGGCCCACTCACATTCACACACTCTTACTTGAAAGAGCTGGTTGGATTCCCAACTCTGTGTTTAGTGATGTCACATAAATACTGAAACTACGTCACTGTGCAAAAAAAAATTCTGGAAAAAAAAAAGATCTTCTATACTTCCAGAAGATAAGGTCCTTTTATGAAAAGTTTGTGTGAAGTGAAAATCTTCTGTACTCAGAAGACAAGGTTTCAATTTCTAGTTTTGCCAGCTGGTATGACCTTGAGTGTGGCATTGACCTTGGGTGTGAGAGCCAACTCATATTGGCTCCTGTGACTCCCCTCTCCTGGTGTTCACACCCTCCACGTTGCGCAAGGGGGTTGGTCTGTGTGACCAACAGAACAGCAGCAGAAGTGAGAGCATGTCACTTTGAGACCAGGCTCTAAAGTCATTGCAGCCTCTGACTTGGTTGCTTATTTGCTCCTTGGGCCACCTGCTTTGGGGAGGGCCAGCCTCCACATTGAGAGTGTCTCCTGACAACAGCCATGTGCCATGAACCACCTTAGAAGCAGTTCTTCCAGCCCCAGTAAAACTTCAGATGATGTAACTACAGCCAGCATCTGGACTGGAATCTCATAAGAGACTCTGAGATACAGCCATACAGCTAAGCCACTCTTGACTTCCTAACCCTCAGAAACTATGAGAAACAATATATACTTGTTTGTTTAAGCCAGTAAATTTTGGGGTAATTTGTTGCTATGGTCTTCATCTTTGTGTCCCCCCACCCCAATTTATATGCTTAAATCCTAAACTACAAGGTGATAGTATTAGAAGGTGGGGCCTTTTGGGGGATAATCAGGTCATGAGGCTGTAGCCTTCATGAATGGGATTGGTGCCCTTATAAAAGAAACTCCATTGAGCTTGTTTGCCCATTCCACCATGTGGAAAGACAGCAGGGAGGTGCCATCTACAAACGAGGAAGAGAAACTGCCAGCACCTTGATCTTGGACTTCCCAGCCTGCAGGACTCTGAGAAATAAATTTCTGTTGTTTATAGTATTTGATTGTAGCAGCCTGACTAGACTAAGACATTTGCTATGGAGCAATAGGTAACTAACAGAGTCACTAAGCCATCTAGTTCTCTATATACATATGGTGAACAGGTACAATAATGCTCGCTCTGTCTACTTCATAGAGAAATCATTAAACCAAGTAGGGAAATGTGTGTGATTGCATTTTAGCAGCTGTAAAAATGCTCTGCAGCCATAATGTGCTATTATTACATTTAAAGATATCATTTAGTTGATTGTTTCCTTTGCTGTGCAGAAGTTTTTTAGTTTGAAGCAATCCCATTTGTCTATTTTTGCTTTTGTTGCCTGTGCTTCTGGGGTCACAACCAAAAAATATAATTGCCTAGACCAATATCATACAGCTTTTCCCCTACATTGATCAAAGCTTAGGAAGGTTCAATGAGACAGAAGGAAGAAGCTAAAGAGAGCTATTGCAAAACATGGTGACTATAGTTAATAAGAATATATTGTTGGCCGGGCGCGGTGGCTCACGCCTGTAATCCCAGCACTGTGGGAGGTCGAGGCAGGTGGATCATGAGGTCAGGAGATCGAGACCATCCTGGCCAACACAGTGAAACCCCGTCTCTACTAAAAATACAAAACATTAGCTGGGTGTGCTGGCGCGCACCTGTAGTCCCAGCTACTCAGGAGCCTGAGGCAGGAGAATGGCATGAACCCAGAAGGTGGAACTTGCAGTGAGCCAAGAACTTGCAGTACTCCAGCCTGGGTGACAGAATGAGACTCCGTCTCAAAAAAAAAAAAAAAAAAAAAAAGAATATATTGTCTTCTTTAAAAATGCTAAGAGAGTAGATTTTAAGTGTTTTCACCTCACAAAATGACAACTTCTGTGAGGTTATGCATATGTTAATTAGCTTGATTTAGCCATTCCACAATGTATATATATTTCAAAATGTCATATTGCACATAATAAATACATAAAATTACCTGGCTATTTAAAAAACTAATAAATATATCATTCAGGCCTCACTACATGACCTTCACATGATCAGAAATTTAAAAATTAAAATACCATGTCTCTACCATCCAGAAATTAGTGCAGTAAACACATTATTGAATGTAATTCAGATATTATCTATATATATAAACTTGCATACTTAAAATGAAATTATTTTTTACATATAATTTTATAACCTTTTTTTTTTTTCAGTTAATAAGCTCCAGGTTTCCATTTCAATGAATCTTATATAATACCTAGTCTGTGTTCACATTTACTCGGTTGCTCCAAACATTTTCTTTAGCTGGCTTAACCATTCAGGATCCAGTCAAGGGCCATTCACTGTACCTTGTTGCCTTCCTTAGGTTGCTCCTAATCTACCACAGCTTCTTTTTTTTTTTTTTTTTTTTTTTGAGACGGTGTCTTGCTCTGTAGCCCAGGCTGGAGTGCTATGGCCCGATCTCAGCTCACTGCAAGCTCCGCCTCCCGGGTTCACGCCATTCTCCGGCCTCAGCCTCCTGAGTAGCTGGGACTACAGGCGCCCGCCACCTCGCCCTGCTAGTTTTTTGTATTTCTTAGTAGAGACGGGGTTTCACCGTGTTAGCCAGGATGGTCTCGATCTCCTGACCTCGTGATCCACCCGTCTCGGCCTCCCAAAGTGCTGGGATTACAGGCTTGAGCCACTGCGCCCGGACGACAGCTTCTTTATTAATGACATGCAGTCATTGATGAAGACCATATTTCATCTTCTGGGCGTGTCTGGGTATTTTCTCATGAAGGCATTTTGTCTTTTCCTCTATCTCCCATATTTCCTGTAAGCTGAAAGTCAGATCTAAAGGTTGATGAATTGGGGATTAGACTTAAGTGATGCTGTGTACATAAAGCCTGGTTGACCCGCCATTGCTGATGCTAAAGTTGACAGTGGGTTAAGAGATTGAACATACAATCCTTCCATTGTACAGCTACTTTTTCTCCCTTAGATCAATGTCTAGATCTGCATTAACTACATCTCTAATGTTGATTTTCTAATTCTATCATTTATTCTATATTATTGATGGCCTTTTTTTCTTTTAAAATAGAGCTTTCTCTCATCAACTCAGCTGTCTTATTATCCCCAGTGCAGTTCATATTGGAAAGAGAAGGTAAATAATGATTGCCCTTCAGTGTCAAATTCTTAATGTAATGCGTTGGTTTAGTAGTCATCTCAAGTTGTGGCATAAAAGTATTGTCCTAGCTTTTGCTCTTTGAGTTTCATTATGGATTCACATACTTTGATTGATTCAATGTGCATTAATACACTATAACCGCTGCTACTTTTGATGTTGAAATTATCATACTTTTGGCCAACAGGAAGGGACTTCTCATTTCACAATCGTATTAGTTTTTGACAGCTTCCTTGCTTCCTGACACAGCAAGACATCACTTATCCCCAACCTGGAATTATCCATCTCACCAATTAAGTATGGCCTTCTGAAAGGGCAGCATTAGGTAATGTCCTATCAAACAGACTGGAAAGGTGCAAGTTTCTACTTTATTTTCAGGATATTATATGTAAATTACAGGGAATAGGAGAAAACATTGCCAAACCCGAATTCAACCTGAATCTTGACAATGGACTTCTCTGATGCAAAGACTCATAAATATATATATGTGTGTGTGTGTGTGTGTGTGTGTGTGTATACACACACACACATATATATATTGTGTGTGTGTCAATAGATAAGAGATATTTAAATTGCAAAAGCTTCTTCTACTTAATAAAAGTAAGACCAAAATAAGACCTTTAAGACCTGAACCAAGAGTTTTAATATCAAGCGCAGGTGGAGAGACCTCAGGATAGGTAGAGAAAGTTCCCACCATCAGGCAAAGAAAGCATAAAGCTCTATCAACAGAGAAGAAGAGAAGAGTACACTGCCAGGAGAAGGAGTTCTTGATTCTCCCTTCCTGGGGAGGAGGTTCCACCTATCAGTAGTGGATGTGGCAGAGATGGAGGCAGAAATCAGAGCAGAGGAGCTTGCACCTACCTCCCACTGGGAAGGCTCTGGCAGGAGACCTTATGGAGCGCTCTGCACCAAGGTGATGTTCTACCTTAAAGGAGAAATGGCAGTGTAGCCTTCAGGCAGAACGCTCTCCCATGTTCCAGGCAACAGAAGTTCCCAAGTGCTCCTGCTGAGGAAGGTAGCTGAGAGCTGTGGCCCATCAAGGAACCATCAAGGTGAGAAACAAGGTGGTTTCAGAGCCAAGATTGCTGTGGGTGGACAGTCTAAGCCAGGGGCCAGGTAAGGGACTTGCTTGAATCCTACATGAATGCCAAGGTGGGACAAAGCAAGCTGCAGATGGGACTTCCACCTGGGCCATGCCCAGGGGAGTGACTAAGCTGGCCCCACAGCACTAGGTACAGGGAGGACTGAAGCCTTGGCCCAGAGTCCCGGTGAGAGAAGCTATGCCACCACATGAGGTCAGGTACGAGCAACAAAACGTGACAGCCTCGATTATGTGTGGTCCCTGCAGGACTCCAGGAAGCCATCACATCTGTCTTGCCACCGGACACCTACTTTGGAAGGAGCAAACAGGAAATGGCCCTAGTAAATAATTTGAGTTTTGAGTTGATGGATTCAGAAACTCGATTTTTCAAAAAGAAATAGTTTCAATCCAGAAAAGATTGTTACCTTTAACTAAGAAAAATGTTATTTTTTCTTCCACCATCAATGGGAATATAGGCTCCACGGCAAGATAAAATCAGTTAAACATCATGAATAAGCCATACTGGTCGCACTAACCCATTTGGGATGAGTTATCTTTTAAACCTACCTAGCACACAGTACAATGCAATTCAGAATACTTGTTATTACAATGATTCCCTGGTTCTTCAACTCTCTTGAGTCTTAGTGCACGGGCTGGAGGAGATGCCCATGGCAGATGCCCTGGAAGGGGTCAGCAGCACAGCTCAAACAGCAACACAAACTGATGCAACACGTTGGATGAGGACTTGGGAGACCACCGCAGACCTTATGAAGTGCCATCTCCCACTGACCATCCCCCAGAGGAAGAACTACTTGAAAATAAAAATGTAGGAGATCTCTTTAGAAGAACTCTATTCATATCATACACATGCTATGTATTCATTACGAGCTGCAGGTTACATAATGAGGTGTCTGAAAAATGTTTAGGAGGAGGCATACTACATAAAAGGAGGTGGCATAGAAAGCAAAAGTATTCTGTCATGTTTTATCATCAGTGTCCAGAAATTCACCAAAAAATGGAAAAATGAACTCATCCAAAGATGAATAAAGTGATCATCTGTAGTTATCTCATGAGTTTCAATATCATTCTGGCTATTTTTGTTGATGATAGGAAGCAAAATGACCCCTAGGGGAAAAATGAGAAAATTAAAAAATAAAATTTTATTTAATTATAATAAGAGCTAAAACATGAGGAGGAACAAGAATGTTAATGCAAGGGGCATCTTTTAAAAATAATTATTATTTTGCATGTGTTTAGTCCAGCCTTTTGTTTTTGCTTTGTCCTTATGAAGCTGACTGCTTTATCATTGTTAGTTTATCTGCCCTAGAAGATGAAGTCAAATTGACTTGAAAATATGGCCTATTCCTTTTATATATTTTAAATGTCTAAAATAAAGTTGAGTATATTCTGTGACCTGAATAAGAGAGCCCAAAAAATACTACAATATTTATCCTTCCAGCATACACAAAAGTACAGTCTTTGTTAAATGTTTTAACAGGCTTTTATGGCTTGATAGCCATAAGTTTTTTATCCGACAAGATTCACTCACAGTAACATGGTCTAGAGCAGCATTTAGCATTTTCTATTTGCACACTGCGAGCTCCTGGAATTTTTAGCTTCTGATTTCTATCAAAAGAATGAGAGAGGAGCTTGCTTCCCTGGAACCCCGCGTAGGGTGTGAGAGTGATGCACCTGTTCCCTAGGAAGGACACCGGGCGGGAGCTCCAGCACAGAAGGCTTTGCCAGCTCTCTGCTTAAAACCTTCTTCCCTTGCACACAGAGTGCTTTCTGCAAATGGGCGTTCACAGGAGACTCCCAATACCTGTGCAGAGCAGGTCCACTCGGATGCAGAAGGCACCCTTCCAGTCATGAGAACAGCAGCCAGCCCAGGAGTGGTACCCATGGATGAGAAGGGCCAATTTAAGTTACAGCAGAGCCTTCAGCTAAGCCTTGGAAGTCTAAAGCACTAAAAAAAGGGGAGATCTGCTTAGAGGATGGTGCGTATCCTGAGCTGGCTGAATCTCCAGACATGAACCAGGGCTACACACAAACAAAAGTTATGTGAAATATTAATAAAATAATGTAAAACTGGGGTATACGTTGGGAGATCTGATCTCTCATCCCGATTTGATAAAGAACATGTGTTCTCTTTGAAAAGTTCCTGATTTCTTTGGACATTATTCTTTCCTACATTGTTTGGAATGTTAAAAATGTGGGTTATCTTGGTTCTTACATATTGTATCATTTTATGCCACCTTTAAGCTCTAGAAGTCAGTCTG